TCAAAAAAAAAAAAAAAAAAAGATTTAGTGACATGCTTAAGGTCAAATAACAGATCATTGCTTCTATTGAAATGTACGTATAACTTCTGGTCTTATGTCTGCCCTTCAGAATATGCTACATTCTCTCCCTGAAAAATGTCACTCTAATTTATCAGGTTGGCACAATTAGATATATGGCACCAGAAGTGCTAGAAGGAGCTGTGAACCTGAGGGACTGTGAATCAGCTTTGAAACAAGTAGATATGTATGCGCTTGGACTAATCTATTGGGAGATATTTATGAGATGTACAGACCTCTTCCCAGGTAAGAACTGTTGTTAAAAGTTAATGTGTTTTAAGGTGAAGCAGTTATATCTTCTTTCTTTACCTATATTAAATAACTTTTACATGGCAATCTTTTTACTTTCTTTTTAAAATTTATCTTATTTTTTAACTTTCATTTAAACATTTTGTTCACTGCCATCTAGTGTTCACAAATATTATGAGCAGAATGATGTGAATCAGAAAATTTTTTAAAAATTACTCCAAATTTTCATTTGACTGTAGTTTAATTAATTGCCAGTCACAGTTTATCTAATAGTGTTTAGCTTGGTCTTGCTTTGGCAGTCATCATTTTCCTTATGCACCCTCTGAGTATTTTAGACAAGCTATACTTAGAATGTTTCTGAGTTGAACCTTTGTAGAATTAGGAGCATTGAATCATTTGAGAACATTTTTTTCCTTTTCTTTTCTTCATTCTCCCTTTTGTTCTTCCTTCCTTCTTTCTTTCCTTTCTTCCTTTTTCCCTACTACTCTTCTTTCTTTCCTCATTCCCTCCCTCCCTTTCTGTGAAGGAATGCTCATTTAAGTGAATTTTGTTTAAGGCTTACTGGAAACAATCACATGACCTTACTATTTTTCTCTTTTATGATTACATCACTGTTACTATCATATAAAAGCTTTAACTATAAATCTATCTGTGCATTGCATTCTACTAGATGATGTACAGAATGGTTTGATATATGTGATCTCTATCTCATAGGAACAACACCATTAAAAGGCTAGAAAAGGCTATATTGGACAAATTTATGAAATGGAGCTATTTAATAAAAACAGATTAATAGTGAGGTTGAATTGTCTTGCTTTAAGGGCATTATGCATTAAACATTCGTTTATAACTCAAAAGTATAAATAAATGAATGATTACGTAGATTACAGGTGAATCATTTAGAAGTATATTTTATAGTTTATTAGAAGTACAGTGAGGTGTTTTTCTGAATGTACTTCTTTATTAGAAGTACATTAAGGTGTTTTTCTGAAAATAGCAGTAATTGCAGTAGCATCACAAGTTAGAACTTTGGCCATTTTTTAATTTTTTTTTAATATTCTCACGTAGTTTTTTTTTTTTTTTTCAAGACAGGATCTCCTTAGTTGCTCTCACAAGAGAGCTGTGGCATCACAGCTCACAGCAACCTCCAGCTCTTGGGCTTAAGCGATCTCTTGCCTCAGCCTCCCAAGTAGCTGGGACTACTACAGGTGCCCGCCACAATGCCTGGCTTTTTTTTGTTGCAATTCTCATTGCTGTTTTAGCTGGCCGGGGCCAGATTCAAACCCACTATCCTCAGTATATGGGGCCGGCACCCTACCCACTGAACCACAGGCGCTGCCCTCATGTAAGATTTTTGTTATAGAAGCATATCTGACTAAAATGATTCTTTTATCAGTATTAGGTACTGCTACCAGCAACATTTTTGAAAAACTACTGTGTTCAAAGAATGACTGTTGTTTTTGCTCTGGTAAATAAATTATTTAACAAGGAAAGGCAATTAAATCTTGTTTGTAGACGATTATTTTAGTAGATATATAGGATGAATTAAGATAGAAATAGGAAGAACTAGAAGGGGGTTAAAAAAGGAAAAAGATAGGGAGAATTCATGGTTTTATAAAAGATAGGGAGAGTTTTAGTTTGGAAGATGGAAAAGTTCTAGAGATGGATAGTATTGATGGTTGTATAACAGTGAGAATACTTAATATCATAGCACTGTATATTTAAAATGGTTAAAATCATAAACTTTATGTTATATATATTTTACCAAATAAAAACATAAGATTAAGAGAGTTACATCAAAATACCCTATGATTCTTGGATATGGAAATGGGGAAGAAGAGGCAGATCTGAGAGGAAATGCAGAGAAGGCATCTGTGGTTGTTGTTAGCAATTAAAAGAGTGAGAATCAAAAAAACTGAAAAATATTCTAAGGTCTAAGAAATAGTAAAGATGGTGGCCAAGAACTCAGGAAGAAATGTTGGTATATACTAGAAACATGAGTTAATTATGGAGACTTTTGGATGAGCTATGAATAGACAACTAAAAGAAATTGTTTATAGAGAATTTAAAATTATAAAAAAGAGAAGATTAAATGGTTTGGGGGGAGTTATTTACTTAAGAGACAGTAATTGAGAACTTATGAGTAGATGCATTTGTCTAAAGCAGTGGTTCTTAACCTTCCTAATGCTGAGACCCTTTAATATAGTTCCTCATGTTGTGGTGACCCCAACCATAAAATTATTTTTGTTGCTACTTCATAACTAATTTTGCTACTGTTATGAATTGTAATGTAAATATCTGATATGCAGGATGTATTTTCATTGTTACAAAGGGGTCACGACCCACAGGTTGAGAACTGCTGCTCTAAAGGAACAAATGAAAAGAGAGAAAAATTGAATATTACAGTCTGGGCAATGGTGAGACTTCATCTCTACAAAAATTAATCAGCTAGGTGTGCTATTGTGCACCTCTCATCCCAGCTACTCCAGGCTGCCTCAGGCAAATCATTTAAAGCCAGGAGATGGCGACTGCAGTGAGCTATGAAGATGCTACTGTACCTTAACCTGGGCAACAGAGTGAGACCCTGTCTCAAAAAACAAAAAAGCCTGAATGTTGGGGAACTACTCCCACCAAGTAGGTTAATTAAGAAGACAAATGATTAGAAAAATAGAAAACTATAAAATCACATCTTGGAAGTCAATGCTAGAAAGCTTTAAGAACCAAGATTTGGCTCGGCACCTGTGGCTCAAGCGGCTGAGGCGCCAGCCACATACACCTAAGGTGGCGGGTTCAAATCCCCAGCCCGGGCCCACCAAACAACAATGATGGCTGCAACCAAAAAATGGCCAGG